TATGAGTAGCTGCACTCCCCTGCTAGAACTTCCAAAATCTCACTGACATTTTTTGTTGATGTTGAAATAGGAAAAAAAAAAAAAAAAAAAAAAAACCTAAAATCCTTACGGAATCTCAAAGGATTTTAAATAGCACAAAAATCTTGAGAAAGAAAAACAAAGCTGGTGACTTCACACTTACTGATTTTGGAAAATATTACAAAGATACAGTAATCAACCAGAAAGACACTGGCATAAAGATAGACTTGTAAATCAATAGAACAGAACAGACCTAGAAATAAATCAAATGACTTATGTATGTAGTCAAGTGATCTTCAATAGAAGTTGCCAAGACTACATGATAGGGAAAAGATAAGTCCCTTCAAAAATAGTGTTGGGAAAACTAAATACCCACACCCAAAAGAATCAAACTATATTCTCTTGCCTTATGTCGTGCCAAAAAAATTAATTCAAATGGATTAAAGACCTAAATGGGGGGCTGGGGATTTAGCTCAGCGGCACAGCGCTTGCCTGGCAAGTGAGAGGTCATGAGTTCAATTCCCGGTACTGGGAAAAAACAAACAAACAAACAAAAGACCTAAATGGGAGACCTGAAAGTGCAAAATTCCTAGAAGAAAATATAGGAGGGAAGTGTTATGGCATTGGATTTGGCAGTGATTTCTTGAATGTGATATCAAGAAACACAGATAACAAAGCAAAAATAATCTGGCCCTTCCTCTGAATCTCTTTTGGCAGCACAAAAACCTTACGTTTTTATCAGCTTACCTGACTTGGGCTTGACTTGGGAAACTGTGTGTATTTCTACCCAGTAATGCTTCCCTTGTCAGACATGCTCTGTAAATGTCTTCCTGATGATGATTTTCTAGACGATTGGAGATTTTTCTCTTTAAGCACTACTTTTAATAGATACTAAAAAAAAATCAGAAATAAAACCAAACTTACCTCAGAGGACAGTATTGCTAAAAATAGCCACTGGTAAACATCTAGGCGGTGGGCATATGGGTGTTCATGTTAAAATTCTTTCAACTTTATTGTATATTTAAAATTTTTCCTAATACATGCTGGGAAAACATCACTCCAAGAGAGCATGAAAAATCCTTATCCCAATAATTTTAGGGTAACTCAGAAAGCTTCATCTGTGGAATGGTGGAGGTTGCCCGCTCTGGAGCCAGACTGTGAGGGTTCTTATTCAGCCCCTGCTACTGCCTGGCTGTGTACCTTTGAGATAGTTACTGTGCTTCTCTGAGCCTGGTCTTTCTTGACTACAAAATGGGATTTGTGAGAATATTGTAAAAATGAAATGAGAGGATATGGATAAGAATACTTCTTAAACTCTTGGTAAATGATTGCTGTTACTGTTGCTTCCCTTACTACTATTTTGTAATTGCCTATAATTAATGGCTTCTCCACTCCAAGAATGGCTACCGTTGTGTCACCCTCCTTTATCATTTATTTGAATGATAATTTGGGTCTAATTGGAGACAATTTTGAAATACATTGGCATTGTTTCCAAAAATCAAATCTGTCTACATGTTGTCCACTGCTCATCCTTAGTAAATAGAACACCAGAAACATTATTGACCTTTTCCTCAGTGAAACTCAGTCCCCATCATAAAGAGCACTTCTGGCCGTGCTTCTTGCGCCGTGGAAGCAGAGGCCTGTACTTAACCTCCTCCCGAGTGCTTCTGGACAGCCTGTGCTCTCTTCCTTTGTCGTGGGGCTCCTTCCAGCTACTTAGGCTGCCTCTCTCTCCCCTCTTTCTTGCCAAATTAGATGTTCACAGCCACCGCAATTCACCTTTACCCAGAGTGGAAATCAGTATCACCAAAGGAAGTCAGGAAGTATTGCACAATCATGTCACTGGTACTGGAATCTTAAGGGTGTGTGTGATGACCTCTTCTACATAACAGAATGTGGTGACATTCTGTCTCTTACCTTTCTTGGGTTCAGTTTTCTTTTAGTATATCAAAGAGTTATGTATCTGTTCCCCACTATCTAATTTTAGAACATTTTTCATCACCCTAAGGAAAGACCTTATACTCATTAACAGTCACTCCATTCTCTCTCTCCAACCTTCAGCCGTTGCAACCACCAGTCTACTTTCTGTCTGTCTTTAGAGTTTCTTCTTCTAGACACATCATACAATATGTGACATTTTATACCTGCCTTCTTTCATTTAGCATAATGTTTTCAGGTTCATCTATGTTGCAGCTCATATCAAAGCCACATTCCTTTTTAACAGCTGAATAATATTTCATTTGTGGATATATCACAGACCATTCATTCATCAACTGACAGTCATTTCATTTGTTTCCACTTTTGACTGTTGTTATAACAATACTATAAACATTGGTCCACAAATTCTTGTGTGGACATGTTTTCACTTCTCTCATATATGTGCCCAGGCCAACTCTATATTTAACTTTTTAAGGAATAGCCAGACTGTCTTTTTGAAGTGGCCACATAATTTTTGTGTGAGGGCTCCAATTTCTTCGTGTCCTCCCCCACACTTACTATCTATCATTGTAATTGTAGCCATCCTGGTGAGTTTTTATTTTGTTTTGTTCTGTGTATAGTAGTACTGGGGATTCAATCCAGGGCCTCATACATGCTGGGCAAGTAATCTACCACTGAGCTATATACCCAGCACTTTTTAATTTTTATTTTGAGACAGAGTCATATGGAGTTCAGCTGCCCAGGCTAGCTTCAGATTCCCAATCCTCCTGCCTCAGCCTCACAAATTGCTTGAATTACAGGTGTGTACCACTGCACCCTGCTTTATTGTGGTTTTGAATTATACTGCATTTCTCTACTAGTGGTGCTGAACATTTTTAAATGTGTTTATTGATGATTTATGTAGCCTCTTTAAAAATACCTGTTTAAATTCTTTGTTCATTTTTAATTGAATTATTTCTCTTTTTATTTCTGAGTTGTAAGAAGTCTATGCATTCTAGATACATCTTATTATATACATGATTTTCAAAGCTTTTCACTTTCTCAGGGATCTTTGAAACACAGGAGTTTTTAATTTTGATGAAGTCCAATTTGCCTATTTTTTTCTTTTGTCACTTTTGCTTTCAGATAGTCTATTTGAAGTCTATCATGACTTGTCTAAAAATCTCACTTGCTCACTAGGAGCAAAAGAACTGTATTATTATTAGTTTTCCTTATTTGAAATTATAAAACACTTGATTCCAAATGCCTGCCAGTTATACGTAAAAGAACTGAGAAATTGTACTTGGAGCTGATAAACCCGTGTCTGTGGGTTAGCCTCAGGAAATAATTTGATAGAGAAAATATGCTCGATTCTCAGAGTTGTTTATTTAACTGTGACCCAGAGATTAAGGCGTTGGAAGCCTGTGCAGGAGCACATGTCTGAGTCCTGTGTATTTAGCACACAGTTAGCAGATACTATAATTATGAAGCCAAGTAATAAAAATGTTTATGATATGTTTAGTGAGAGAAGAAAATGTAAGTTCAAACTCATTATAATTGAAAATATCTATAAAGTACTTGAACTGGAGGAAGGGTATCTATAATGATAGGTAGTTTTATTTTCTTAAATTTCATTTAATATTAATATTTTATCTTCACAGTTAAAAACTAAAAAAATATATGTGCATGACATTTGGGTGGCAGAAATAGTGAGGTCTGGGGGTCTGTCTGTATCTGTATCTATGTCTCACTGCAGCTTTTTGAAATAGAAATTATTTTAACATCATTATGACCACCATGATCATCACAATTAGGCTGAGGAACAACAAAAAAGCACTGACCGTGATGGCCCTCAGCTGTAATCCTAGAACTTTGAAGACTGAAACAAGAGGATCAGGAGTTGGAGGCCAGCCTGGACTACATAGTGAGACCCTGTCTCAAGCCAGAAACCAAAAGAAACAGCAAAAAATTGTGTTTGTCTACTGAGATTTTGATAGAGCTATTTTAATTTTCTGTACATCTTTATATCAATTCTAAACACTGATTATAATTTGATTTTAATTTCAAATTGCTGTTAGCTGAGCCATTACAGCAGTACAGTTTGCTAAGAAAAAGGTAATGATTATGGTGACATGTTAGTAGTGCAGATCATAGAAGCACTTTTCTCATGGTATCGCATGAAATAATTATTATTACAGTTATTTTTATATATAAGTAAATCTGTCTTCCAGCTTTTGAAGTAAATTTCAAACTGACCAAAGATTTAATAGTTTTTTTTAAGAAAAAGTAAAGGCACCCAGAGAAAAACATGAACAGTAAAAAGCAAGCACAGTGGAAGGTCACGTGTAGGATGTAACCCACTTTGAATTATTGGGCCACAAATTGGGTTTGTGGGTATCCTGACCTTCTGATGTTTGGTTTCATCACAGTGATAGTGGGGCTCGGTACAGCCAGTAACTGTGTGGTGATCCCTTTCCTGAAGCCTAGAATGGGAGGGGCAGCATGACAGTGAGGGAACAGCCACCCAGAGACGCCAGCTCTTGCACAACCAGGCAGTCTTCCCACCCAAGCCTCCCTGCATTTGCACACTGCTACTAACTTGGTCTTGGGGCCTGCTGGAGGGACAGAGGCGTCATGTTCTCATATGTGGGAAGGCTATGAAAAGAAAACCCTTGTTGGGCCAAACATTTAAACAAGAATTACACTGGATCTTTTGTTCTCATTCTGACATGGTCAGAATTAATGTAGAAGTCCAAAAGAGGGAGTTTTTGTTTTTGTCTTTAAAGCCGAGTTACTTAATGCAAGCATATGGAGGAGGGGGAAACGACAACAAAAAAACATTGCTTAAATCATCAAGTGGTGTTGGAACATCCCCGGGTCATCCTTCAGAGCACTGCTTTGTTTGCAGCTGAGGCACCTGACTCAGATGCAGAACCAAACTGCTGATGAGATTCTTGTGAGAAGACTTAGGTGATAGAGGGCAAGCAGTGGGGTATCTCCGTGGATCTAAGAGACAGAGCTTAAGAGATCTTAATCATGTTTTTTTTTTTCCTCTTTCTTATCAGCTTTAGTAGGAAAAAACTACTTTCTGAAAATTACTGAAAAACTGCCCTTAGAAGTCGTTTCTTGCATGGTCGTGGAGTAGCTGGAATTTGCACTGTAAGGCCTGTGGATGGGACAAGCTGTCACCTGCTGATCATCCAGAGTGGTTGTCACCATGGCCAGCAAGAGGAAATCTACTACACCATGCATGATCCCAGTGAAGACGGTGGTGCTACCGAATGCCATTGTGGAGGCCCAACCTGCAGAGGCCTTGCCTGAAGGACCCCAGCAGGATCTGCCCTCAGAAGCACCTGCCACCACTAGTGAGCCGGCCCAGAACTCCAGCAACACCGATGGCTCTGCACTGGCCAACGGGCATCAGAGCACTTCGGATGGCTATTTATACTCCTGTAAAGACTGTGATTTCAGATCCCAGGATATGACCCAATTTGTGGGACATATGAACTCAGAGCACACAGACTTTAATAAAGACCCCACTTTTGTATGCACTGGGTGCAGTTTCCTGGCAAAAAACCCTGAGGGCCTTTCCCTGCACAATGCCAAGTGTCACTTGGGGGAAGCCAGCTTTGTGTGGAATGTAGCCAAGCCAGACAATCATGTAGTAGTAGAGCAGAGTGTGCCTGAGAGTTCCAGTGCTCCCGACCTTGCAGGTGAGCCCAGCACTGAAGGAACCGATGGACAGGCTGGAATCATCATTACTAAGACCCCAATCATGAAGATAATGAAAGGCAAAGCTGAAGCCAAAAAAATTCATATGCTCAAGGAGAATGTCCCCAGTCAGCCTGTGGGTGAGGCCTTGCCAAAGCCATCCGGTGGAGAGACAGAGGTGAAAGAGGGAGACCATGCCTTTGTCAATGGGGCAGCTCCAGTCAGCCAGCCATCTGCCAGCTCTGCAAAGCCCCCCCATGGTGCCAACGGGCCCCTGATAGGGTCAGTGCCAGTTCTGCCAGCTGGTATAGCACAGTTCCTCTCCCTCCAGCAACAGCCCCCAGTGCATGCTCAGCACCATCCACACCAGCCCCTGCCCACATCCAAGTCCCTTCCCAAAGTGATGATCCCCCTGAGCAGCATCCCTACATACAACGCAGCCATGGATTCCAACAGCTTCCTGAAGAACTCCTTCCACAAGTTCCCCTACCCAACCAAAGCGGAGCTCTGCTACCTGACTGTGGTGACCAAGTATCCAGAAGAACAGCTTAAGATCTGGTTCACAGCCCAGAGGCTGAAACAGGGCATCAGCTGGTCCCCTGAGGAGATCGAGGATGCCCGGAAGAAGATGTTCAATACAGTCATCCAGTCTGTGCCTCAGCCCACAATCACAGTTCTAAACACACCCCTGGTTGCCAGTGCAGGCAATGTCCAGCATCTCATTCAGGCTGCTCTCCCAGGCCATGTTGTGGGACAGCCAGAGGGCACAGCAGGTGGACTCCTGGTCACTCAACCACTGGCCAATGGGTTGCAAGCACCAAACTCATCCCTGCCCCTGGCAGTGACGTCTGTCCCCAAGCAGCCATCTGTGACGCCCATTAATACTGTGTGTTCAAACACAGCATCAGCGGTGAAGGTGGTTAATGCTGCCCAGTCTCTCCTCACTGCGTGCCCCAGCATAACCTCCCAGGCCTTTCTTGATGCCAACATCTATAAGAATAAGAAGTCTCACGAACAGCTGTCGGCTCTGAAAGGGAGCTTCTGTCGGAACCAGTTCCCAGGGCAGAGTGAAGTCGAACATCTGACCAAAGTGACTGGGCTCAGTACCAGAGAGGTGCGGAAATGGTTCAGTGACCGGAGATACCACTGCCGGAACCTAAAGGGCTCCAGAGCCATGATGCCTGGAGAGCCTGGCTCCATCCTCATCGACTCTGTACCAGAGGTCCCCTTCTCCCCATCATCCAAGGCCCCTGAAGTGGCCTGCATCCCCACAGTGGCTTCGCTAGCAAGCCACCCTGCTGTCAAACGGCAGTCCTGGCACCAGGCTCCTGACTTCACTCCAACCAAATACAAAGAAAGAGCCCCTGAGCAGCTCCGTGTGCTGGAGAGCAGCTTTGCACAAAACCCGCTTCCTCTTGATGAGGAATTGGACCGTCTGAGAAGTGAAACCAAGATGACGCGTAGAGAAATCGATAGCTGGTTTTCAGAGAGACGGAGAAAAGTGAATACTGAGGAGACCAAGAAAACCGATGAGAACGCCTCTCAAGAGGAAGAGGAGGCTGCCGAAGACGAGGGTGGAGAAGGAGAGCTGGCCGCTGAGCTGAGGGTTGCTGGTGAAAATGGTGCCCCAGAAATGCTTATTAACCAGACTTCAGCAGAGCGCAGAGTCAGCCCCATCAAAATTAACCTGAAGAACCTGCGGGTCACTGAAGCCAGTGGCAAGAGTGACCTTCCAGGGCTGGGCGTCTGTGAGCCCGAGGATGATGGGTGGAGCAAGCTGGCAGAGCAACCTCCAGGCAAGATGAGCTACAAAAAGACAGCCCAGCAGCGGCACTTGCTGCGGCAGCTCTTTGTCCAGACGCAGTGGCCCAGCAACCAGGACTATGACTCCATCATGGCCCAGACAGGTCTGCCACGGCCAGAGGTGGTGCGCTGGTTCGGGGACAGCAGGTATGCCCTGAAGAACGGCCAGCTCAAGTGGTATGAAGACTACAAGCACGGCAACTTCCCACCAGGGCTGCTGGTCATCGCCCCTGGCAACCGAGAACTCCTGCAAGACTATTACATGACGCACAAGATGCTGTATGAGGAGGACCTGCAGAACCTCTGTGACAAGACCCAGATGAGCTCCCAGCAGGTCAAGCAATGGTTTGCGGAGAAAATGGGTGAGGAAACGCGGGCTGTGGCAGACACTGGCAGTGAGGACCAGCACCCTGGTGCTGGAGAGCGTGTGGCAGTTCACAAAGGCCTGGGTGACACTTACTCAGAAGTGTCTGAAAATAATGAGTCATGGGAACCCAGTGCCCCTGAGGCCAGCTCAGAGCCCTTTGACACATCGAGTTCCCATACTGGACTTGAGCTAGGTAAGGAGCACATGGGAACCGTGGCCTTCCTCTGTGGGTGAGGGGAGGATGGACTCAACAGGTGGGCCCTGAATTTATTGCCCGGGGGACATCTGCTGTCTTTTAGGCTGCCTAAAAGTAGCTTTAACTGTCTGATTGCTTAAGGGGACAAACAGCAACAAAAGCTATAGCAGTCTAAAGTGACAGAAGATTGAAACTGAAGTAGGATTTTGTTTGGTTCATTTTTTTTTTTTGACCTATGCAGGGGAAAGAACATGGTGAACCTAAAGGCATCTAAGCTTTTCTGGTCACTTCTTAGAATAAGAGAATAAATAAAACATCATGTAAGTCAGGCAAATCCCCACTAACTGGGAAGGGGAGAGCAAAAGGACATCAGAGGAAATTCAGCTCAGATTAGTCAACCAAAGGAAGGAGAGCCTTTGTTTTCAGACACAGGAAGTACTTCTATCTAATGATGAAAATTCCATCTTAGGTTTCTTTTGTTCTTGATGGAGAAGAAATGTTTATTAGCTGGGCATGGCAGTGCACACCTGTTATCCCAGCACTTGAGAAGCTGAGGCAGGAAGATCGATGTGAGTTTGAAGCCAGCTTGGACTACATAGTGAGACCCTGTCTCAAAACAACAAGTTTATTATAATGGAAAATCATTTCCCTCTTTAACATATGTGGAATCCAAAGCTTCAGTTTTGTTCCTGAGTTTCTCTGGTCATGATATTTTAGTATTGTTGTAGTTACTTTTCTCGTTGCTGAGACCAAATACCTGACACCCAAGGTTAAAGGAGGAAAAGTTTTTATTGTAGCTCATAGTTTGGGGAGGTTTCAGTCCGCAATCAGGGTAGCAGTGGTAGAGGGGCAACAGTTCATGGCAGCTGGGGTGATGGAAGACAGCAAAAGCAGCAAAGGCAAAAAGGGGAGGGCAAGCTTCTGTTCCTCCCTTATGTGTTATGCAGGCTACCCGCCCTAGGCGGGTGTAGCACTCACACCCTCAATCCCAGCACTAGACCATGAACCAATCAGAAACTCTAGATTCAGCCACCTCCAAAAAGCCCCCCCCCCAACTGCATGAGGCTTTGGGGGGATATCCAGACACGAACCATAACAAGTATTGAAAAGTAAAATTTAAAATATTATTTAAGACATTGTTGTGAACCAGTAGATTAGTCATATTATTGGGTGATTTCCCAGGTTCTTTGTCCCTGAGTTCCCAGCCTCTCTCTGTCTTTCTACTGTTCAGCATTTGTCTCCGCGTTAGAGGCCCCATCGCAGGGGAGCCAGAAGCCCAAGCAAGGGCCAGGAGAGAAGAGTGCTGCAAAAGCTAAAGGGATTGGCAGCTCTGAATGGCGGCTATGGCACTGGGCTGGCTGTGGTGGGTGGGTGCTGGAGACACTCAGAAATGTGGGGGTTGGTCCCTGGAGACTGTGGTGTCACAAGATCCTGTCCCTTAGCCCCAGCTTCCTTCACCCAGGTTTCTGCTACTTAAGACTTCTAAAAAGGACGAAATTATTTTTCTTCCTCTGAATATTTTAAATGCATTAGAATACAATTTTGAAGCACAGTTACGCTGTTGGTATGCTGACTCGTTTAAGGAAAAGGAGACTTCCATGTCTGCTTATATTGGGGCAAGGGCTGCTATGTTTTCTATCTGTTTAGCATTTGCAGAAAGCAATGTTCTTTTAATGTTCACATACTAAAGGAAAACCTGACTCGGTAAAGCAAACAGAGCAAACACCTGGTGGACCCCAAGTCACTGTTAGGAGATAAAGTGAACCCAGAGCTGCAAGCTCTTTGCTTGTATCTTCAATTCCAGCCTGTTCTCACTGAGGAAAGACTGGAGGAAGAAAGATCCGCTCCTCCTCTTAGTGCCAGCCTCTCGGACTGCTTCCTAACAGGGCTGATGAGATATTCTGGAGTTGGAGCAGGGCAAGAAGGAGCTTGCCTATGGTTGATTTGAGGTTTTTCATTGCAAAGCAGGTTGTCTCTCCTCTTTGGAAGGCTTTGTCCAAGTTGGTCTAAGTACACAGCTTTATATTCCTTTTGTCTGCCAGTAAGCCAGGTGCCATGCTCAAAAGAAATGAAGATATTTGAATAAGTTCTGTTAAAAAGCTGACTTGGAACCGAATATAGTGGCACATGCCTGTAAATCCCAGCACTTGGGAGGCTCAAGCAGGAGGGTTGCTGAGAGTTCAAAGACAGCGTGGGCTACCAAGTGAGTTCAAGGCCAGCCTGAACTACGTACTGGTAGCAAGACGCTGTCTCAAAAACACAAAACAAAAATGCTGCCCTGGAGAGAGTGATATCAGAGAAGATGGTAGAGCAGAGAATACCGCTCCTCCATCAGAACCCCCACTGAGCTGACATAAACGGTCTGAACCAGATATTTTTGGAAGTCTGGAGTCTAGTTGAACATTTGCAACACATAGAGGAGCTGGATGGGAGCAGCTTGCACATCCTGGTGATAGTCTGTGTTTCACATAACATCCTCACCTCCCTCATCCCTGCAGCTGGCATCCGTGGTGACTGTGGCCCAGGCTCCTGCTGTGGCTTTTTGTTGCCAGGCTGGGCAATAATGACTTTGTCTTCCAAAAGTCAGAGTTTTGTGTTTTGATTGCTGAGCACTGTATTTCTTCACTGAGGAGCCAGCAGAGAGGCTATTACTATTCCAGCCTCCATGGGCTGAAACAATTTCCTAGCCACAGGGGATTTAAAGAGATAGTGCCCTTGAGAAAAATGTACCCACCCCCGCCTTTGGTGAGCCAGACATTGAAGGAAATCTTAGGTTACCAAAGAGACCACAGGTAGAAACGTCAGTGACCCCCGCCCCCCAGCACAAGTAATGCACACTTGGCAAAAACAGTTCAGAAAGGCGCAAAACTCTCCACAAGCAAAAATTAGCAAAGCTGGAGGCTGAGATAATTAGGTTTTGAGTCACCACACATAGTACTCAGAATGTCTCAACAAAAAATTACAAAGCAAAGAAAGGAAAAAAGGAAAAAAAGGAATTTGACAGACTTGAGGCAGTCAGAGATGTTAAATCAACTGTCTTAAATACGTTCAGTGAGCTAAAGGAACCTGTCAACAAAGATCTAAAGGAAATCAGGGCAACTATACATGAGGGAATGGAGAATATCAGTAAGACAAATTATAAAATGGAATAAAACTCTAGAGCTAGTAAGTACAGTTATGAAAATGAAAAATGTACAGCAACAAATTTGAGCAGGGAGAAGAAAGGATCTATGATTTTAAGATGATTGAAGTTAGCCAAATGATCAGAAAAAAATAAAGGAAAATGAACAGAGCCTAAGAGATTTGTGAGAAAGGGTCATAAAGAATATTTTAAAATGAGCTAAGGTTGGTGGCACATGCCTATAATCCCAGCACTCTCAGAGGCTGAAGGAGGAGGACTGCAAGTTCAAGCCTTGCCTGGGCAATTTAACAACTTAGTGAGACTCTGTTTAAAATTAAAATATAACAAGGGGTTGGAGATATAGCTCAGTGTGAAGGTCTTGGGTTCAAACTTCAACACCAAAAAAGAAAAAGAAAAGGCAGAAAACTTTTCAAATCTTATGAAGTACATGAATGTACAAACCCAAGAAGCTCAGTGAACATCAACCAGAATAAATTCAAAGAGATCCACTAAGACTCATATTAAAATTGTCAAAACCCAGAGACAAAGAGATAATTTTGAATTGTAGTAAAGTAGCTCATCATTACAGTAGTAAAGTAGCTCATCACATATAAGGGAGCTTCAGTAAGCTCAATAGTTGATCGTTCATCAGAAACCTTGGAGGCCAGGGGCTGGGGATTTAGCTCAGCGTCACAGTGCCTGCCTGGAAAGTGCAAGGTTGTGAGTGCAATTCCTGGTACTGGAAAAAAACAAACAAAAAATAAACAAATAAATAAAATAAAGGAAACCTTGGAGGCCTGAAAGCAGTGGAAAGATATATCTGAGGTCCTGAAAGAACCAAAAAAACCCCAAAAATCTACTAACCGAAGTTTCTTTATCTGACAAAACTGTCCTTCAAAGATGAAAGAGAAGTTAAGGCATTTTCAGATGAACAGAAGCTACAGGAGTTTACTACCAGTAAACTTCCCCTACTAAAAGTGCTAACAAGAGTTCTTCAAACTGAAACAAAAAGATAACAGTAATTTTGAAGTCATAATAAAACAGTAACACTAATAAATTTATAGGTAAATAGAAAAGCCACTATCATTGCATCTTATTTGTAACTTTCTCTTTTTCCAATGTAGTTTGTGAGATAAATCGCATTAAAAATTATAAGTCTATGCTAGTGGTATACAGTGTAGTAAGATGTAAGCTGTGTTGATAACAAAGCAGTAACAAAAAGGGAGATATATATAGGAACAGAGTTTGTATAGTACCGAAATTAAATTGGTATTAGAATAGATTGTTTTAAATTTAAGATATTAATTATAATCCCCAAGTTAACCACAAGGAAAATAACTACTATATGTGATAGATAGATAGATAGATAGATAGATAGATAGATAGATAGGGGCTGGGGATTTAGCTCAGTGGCACAGTGCCTGCCTGGCAAGCACAAGGTCATGAGTTCAATTCCTGGAACCGGAAAATGCGCCCCCCCAAAAAAAGAGATAGATAGATAGATAGAAGGGAATCAAATCTGGTACATTGTAAGCAATAAGATATTTAAAAAAAAATTTTAATAGTAAATGTTTGGAGTACATAATGATTACATTCCTTTTGGGAGTTGGTATATGTATGTAACACATCTTAATTCTCACCTCCTTTTCTCCCCTCCCGACTCCACCCTCCATTTCTTGGTCCCCTTCCCTTTTGCAAGAGATCTGCCTCTCTTTTTACTACTATTTTTATTTTGCTCTTTGCTTATATCTTGTATTTCTCATATAAGAGGAGCCATGCAATATTTAAGCTTGTGTGTTTGATTTATATCACTTAACGTGCATCCATTTTCCTACAGATAACTCCTTTCTCCTTTATGGCAGGGTGGTGCTCCATTGAGTGTAAATACTACATTTCTTTCTTCATTCATCTGTTGATGACCTATAGGCTACTTCTAAGATTTAACTGTTATGATTTGTGCTGCTATGAAATGCGTATGCCTGTACCACTGCAGTATGATGTCTCTAACCCTTTGAAGATGATATCTAGAGGACAATAGCTGGGTCAAATGTAATTTATACTTTTAGGTTTTTGAGGAATCTCCATATTGATTTGTATTATGGTTGTATTAGTTTACATTCCCATCAACAATGTAAAAGGGTTCTTTTTTTCCTGCAGCCCTGTCAAAATTTATTATTTGATTTTTTAATGATAGCTATTCTTTCTGGAGTAAGATGGAATCTCAGTGTTGTTTTAATTTGCATTTCTGTGGCTGGAGATGTTGAATATTTTTTCATTTATTCATTTCAGTTGCCCATTTTCTGGTTGAGTCTTTTCTTTTAGGAGGTCTGATTTTTTTGAGTTTGGTGTATATTCTAGATATTGGCCTTCTCTCTGAGGAATAGCTAGCAAAATTTTTCCCACTTCTGCAGGCTGTCTCTTTACTCTGTTGCTTGTTTCCTTTGCAGTACAGAAGCTTTTTGATTTGCTATGATCTCATTTGTTGATTCTTGATGCTAAGATCTCTTATGCATTGAGGATTCTGTTCAGAAAGTCCTTGCCTATGCCTATGTCTTCAAAAGCTTTACCTATTTTATCTCTCAGTATGTTGTTTCAACAATCAAATAAATATTAAGAAAGGCAGTAATGGCGGAATTAAGCGGTCAGAAACGTGGAAGACATACAAAAACCAAATAGCTAAATGACAGGAGTAAATTCCTCATAGTTTTTCTACCTGTATGGATAAGTTCTATTACAGACAAAGATTATCAGTTTGGAGTGAAAAGAAAGGATTCATCTATATGCTGCCTACAAGAAACTCACTTTGAATATAAGAACACAAAGAGATCGAAAGTAGAAGGATGTAAAAAGATGTGCTGCACAAAAAGTAACCAAAAGACAGCTGAGGTGGCTGTATTATCATCAGACAAAATAGGCTTTAACCAAGGAAGGCTAAAAAACAAGGAAGGATATTATATACTCTTTTTTGTTTGTTTGTTTTTCTTCTGGGAATTGAACTCACGACCTTGCGCTTGCCAGGCAGGTACTGTGCCGCTGAGCTAAATCCCCAGCCAAGGATATTATATATTGATAAAAGGCTTACTACTATGAGAAGATAGAGCTAACGTTTGTATACCTAGCAGAGCCCTAAAATATATGAAGCAAAAGTTAACATAAGTAAAGGGAGAAGTAAACAGAAATAGTTGGAGACTTTAATACTCTGCATTTAATAATGGATATAAAACACAGACGATCAGCCAGGTATTGTGACACATCCCTGTAATCCCAGCACTTGGAAGGCTGAGGCAGGAAGAGCACTGTGAATTCAAGCCCAGCCTGAACTACATAATAAGAACCTGTCTCAAAAAAAGAGAAGAAAATCAACAAGGAATTAGAGAACTTGAAAAACACTGCAATCCATTTAAAAGTAAATACAAGTGGAAACCTTCCAGATCTTGGATTAGGCAATGATTTCTTAAGTCTGATAGCAAAAGCATAGGGAAGAGAAGAAAAAATAGATAAATTGGACTACATCAAAATTTTGAAATTTTTGTATATCAAAGGATACTCTAAATGGTGAAAAGACAACCAACAGAATAGGACAAATATCTGAACATCATATATTTGATAAGACATATTTAGAATATATGTAGGACTTGTGCAACTCAGCAACAGACAATTAAAATTGAGTAAATATTTTATGTAGACATTTCTCTAAATATATAAATGGACAATAAGCACATGAAAAGATGATCATCTTTGTCATTAGGGAAATGTAAGTCAAAACCACAATGAGAGCCAGGCGTGGTGGCACACACCTGTAGTCTCGGAACTCAGAGGCTGAGGCAGGATGATCTCTGTAAACTTGAGGCCAGACTGGGCCACATGATGAGTTCAAGATCAGCCTTGAATATACAGCAGGACCCTGTCCCCCCCAAAAATAAATAAAATCAGGATGAAACTCAAGTTCATACTTAAGACAGCTATGGCACACACATGTGCACACACAAGATGACATGCACTAGTAAGAATGTAGAGAAATTTGCTTGTGGTGGTATAAAATTTTGGAAGGCAATTTGGCAGTTCTTCAAGGAGTTGAATTATTTAATCTAGCAATTTGACTCATAGGTATATACCCAAAAGGATTTGAAAGAGAAATTCAAATATTTGTATACAATCTTTAAGATCCAAAAGTTCTCCTAGTGTCCATTGAGAGATGAATAAGCAAAATGCATAGCATGTGTGTGTGTGTATATATATATATTTATATATATACAGTGAATATTATTCAACCATAAAAGGAATGAAGTCAAATGCATTCTGTGAGAATGGGCCTTGAAAACATTATGCTAAGTGACATAAGCCGGACACAAAGGACCAATATTGCATGACTGTGCATATATGAAGTATCTGGAACAGGCACATTTATGGAAATAGCAGAATACAGGACACCAGGGTTTGAAGAAGGAAGTGAGTGGGGGCTGCTGTCTGATAGGTGTAAAATTGCTGTTTAGGACGATGCAGTAGTTTCATAACATGTGAATGTACTTAATACAGTGAGTGGGTCTGAGTCATAAGCATGGGCTCCCTTCAGCTACTAAATCCGACAGTGAAATGTTGGTATCTTTTGTTGGGGAGCAGGAGAAGCAGCGTGGCCATGCCATGGTGGCATCGTCTTCTGAGGCTCGTCTGTTTATCCACATCTGGTTTATCACATTTCTCAGCCAGCCTCCATGCAAGGGCCTTACCTTATGCATCGTGGATAATGGACTTCATTCATTCATTCATTCACTTATCTATCTATCTATCTATTTATTTATTTTTGGTACTGGGAATCGAACTCATAACCTCAGGCTTGCCAGGCAAGCGCTTATGCCACTGAGCTATATCCCCAGCTGGACTTCTTTAATAAGCCTCACTGACTTTAATTTTTAGGCCTATGAGTTATAAATGAAGACATGAGTAGAACTAGACCCAGCCTCTATATTAGAGTGATGTGTTCCAGGGAACCCGGAGGGAGAAGGCAGGACTCCGGAGGTGGCGGCGGCAGCCTGGGGTACTGGGCTGAGAAGCCAGGGATGGTGGACCTGGAGAGGCCACGCTGCTGTCCCAGCTGCTAGGTCTGGAATTTGCCCACAGTCCCATGGAGAGTCAGAAGGCCTGTCTGACCTAGTGTCCTGTCCTGAGCCACACACTTTTTCACCTTCCCTCAGGCCGGAGATGGAGTGGCTGATAGGAAGGCACTGCTCGTGGAGTTAAGAAGTCTCCAAAGCCAGGGACAATGCCTTGGCGTAGTGAAGACCAGGCTGGCATGGGGATATACAAGCTGCAGCTGCCATAGAGTGACAGGAATGTGTTTTCTCCTCAGAAACAGACTGAATTTGACCCAATTACTATGAAGAACCGGCCAATCTAGAACGCTGCCTGCCATGTGGAAGAGCCAAATCCACCTCTGCTGCCACATGTGGTTCCCATGGCCAGCCCCTGGGCACCCGGAAGAGCCTCTGGAGTCTCACTGACAGCCTGGAGCCAGTTCTGCCATCTTCACCCTGGGCCTGCCCCACCAAGCAAGTGGCGAGCAGGGGGCGTCGTCAGCCCTTGCACAGTGTAGGGCCTTCCCTTTGCCTTCCGGGGATAAAGTAGTCCAGATTGCATATTTGTAGACACAGAATCAAGTTTTTAACATATACATCTGCCTATCTACATTCAATAAAACAGGTTACAAACACTTTCACTATATAGAAGCTTTGGTTAGCAAAGGAATATATTGCTCACATCATCTCTGAAAATGCTTCGTGTCTGTTCTCCGGAGAGTGCTGGGGCGGTGGGCGCCCTCACCTTCCACAGGCAGCCAAGGGGTGAGGCACACACACAACTGCGTCCCGGCCGCTGCACCTCCACTTTGTCCTTCTGCAGGCAGCAGTGTTTTAAAGAGATTTCTGCCTCCTTACGCAGTGACCAGCCACATTTCATGCCCAGCTTGCCTTGCTTGTGGGCTGATCCGTTCAGAAAATGGCCCAGCTGAGATTAGTGTCGGATGCTCACCCTTCTTCGGTTGTTACTATATTTCTTTTTCATGAGAGTTTGAATCTTGGACCATACGTTTTTGGTTTTTAGATTAACTAGGGAAACATTTGTTGTTAAGCCTAACATACCGATCTGTGTGCCCACTTGACTTTCTTTTTTCCTTTAATCTGGATACTTTTAAGTGAGTGGAAAATGGAAGAAGGCATGGGGGCGGGGCCGAAGTGAAGGTGTACGCACATCCCCGAGCCCTGGCCAGGGCTCGGAGACCTTTCTCCTCATGCACTGCAAAGCCTCCTGCTGGCTGGGAGGAAGAACACGCTGGCTCAGCAGTGAGTGAGGCTGAAGGGATTCGGGACTGTTTGGAATTATCAGAGCTGGTAATCTTGAGCACAAAGACCTGCGGTGGGTGGTTCCTGGGAGAATCCCCCGAGTGACCCAGCTGCACACCAGGGCCCGGCCAGTGTGTTGGGTGCACGCCCCAGTGGTGCCGGGCATCACTGGACAGGTCCTTGGGAGGATGTTTTTAAATTCTGTGTTTATATTGCTAAACTGGGAAACAAGAACTCTTTTATTTCATGTCCTTCTTTGAATTGAGAAAAACCACAGGAAAAGGTGCCTTTGAAATGATGGAAAATGTGCTTACAGAGTTGTACTAAATGGTAATTCTCCTATTTCCCCAGCACTGGCCACTCTGACAGCAGTTGATATGGAGGTGGGGCTGGCTAAGGACCTCTTACCTCTGGCATCAGCTCTTAGAAACATCCTGCTTCCCAAAGCACCAGGCACAGGTACTAGGACCTCAAGGGCTCACTCGCAGACCTGGGGCAGGGTGAAGCACCAGGAGACGCAGAGTGGGGCAAGGGTTTTGGGCAGGAAAACTAATGTGTTCTAGGCATTGTTGTTCCTCCTTTCCCTACCAGAGAACTGGAACAGCCAGGCCACCTGGCTGGCGCGTCAAGGACGACCATGGTGGCAGCACCTTCTGCTTTCCAGGAGAGAGCTTTCTTTGGAAAACAAAAGCCCTTGCACTGTTGTTCTTCTCGAGTCGCTTTTCTTGCCCTCCATGTCCCAGTGGGGACCACCTCTTACTTGTCTCAAATTGGGAACTCGTGAGTACTTGGCAAGTTTTGCAGCCTATTTTTGTATTCTTTCCATTTGGAGATTGAAGCTATTTGGTTCTAAAAGCCTTTGAGGAATTGCCAAGAATGGAGAGCGAGTGCCTTCCTTCAGAGAACAGACACCTGGAATTTTTCCTTCAATATTTATGTACACGCAGTCTAATTTATATATCTACATATATACAGTAAAAGTGCTCATCTGATAATTTGTAAAATGTGCACATGACGTGTGCGCTTGAGGAACTTCGTGGCATGTGGGTACTGGGGGCAGTGGCCCGTGTGACAGGGAAAGCTGGTGCCTTGGACGGCTGTGGTGGCCTAGCACAAAACCGTCTCCAAGAATCTGAGAAGCTGCCCCGTGCCTCACCCCCAGATCCTTGCTAGTGTCCTCTCCAGAGCCCTGCATGCACTGGCTGAATAGTTGTGTCTGTTGAGATGGTTTTCCTGGCTATTTGTGTTGAACTTTAATCTACACCCATAGACCAAAACAGAAAAAATAAGTCACATGGTGGACAAGTTCATACAGAGCAGAGAGTGCCCCGACCTTGGGCACCAGGTTGTCTTTTAGTTGGAAGTTATAATGATGTCAGTCACAGTGTGTTTTTCTCAGATGTTGGCCCTGCTCAGCAGCCAGGGCTGTCCCATAAATGGCAAGATGGCCCAGATAAGAGCCCAGCAGACGGACAGACTCTGCTTCTTCCTGTGCTCTTAGAGGGTACTGAGAAAGTGTGGTTTGAACCTTATGTTGGGAAAAGTAAGATGAGCAAAGGTGACACTAAAGGAGGTGGTCATTGAGTAGGGACCTAGGGCTTTGAGTGCCAAGCCCTGGGTACAGTGTGCCAGGCAGAGACATGCCTACACGAGCCAGAGATCAGAAACACACTGACAGTGGCGGTAGGGGCTATGGGATGACAGCAGCCAGGTCTGTGGCCCATCACAGGACATACTGCTAAAGGGTTAAACTAGGTGTTAGCATCTTCATTAAAAAGCTGTCTGTGGGCTGCAGATGTGAGAAAGGTGGGGTGGGGTTCATCTCTCAAGGAAAAAGCCTATTTTATAAGTGACAAGTACTTTCCCTTTTCTCTCTATGCCCTTGGACTGATGTTTCTTGTGGCCTATTGTAGCAGTTTGATTTAACTTTGTTTTTTACATAGGGTTATATATATTCAGTTCTAACAAGTGAAACCAGATCGCTTTTTTTTCTTCTTGAGACAGGGTCTTGCTATGTAGTTCAGACTGGCCTTGAACTCGATATGTAGTTCAGACTGGTCTTGAACTTAATGGTGATCTTACTGCCTCAACCAGATCACTCTCTGATAAAGGAAATTTGAAATCATGATACATAAACTTTGCATATTTTGATTACTTGTTTTAATTTTTGACTGTAGAGGACCTTTTTGATTTTGGGAGGAGGAAAATCATTTTCAAGTCTTGACTTCCTGAAAACGAACGCCCTAGCTTGATAGCTCACCACCACTGTGAGATTTGGTGGTGGCTCACTTAGAGCTTTCTCTTGGCAGAGTGACAGCAGCTGTTTAGGTGGACCAAAGCACCTCAGCCCGGGGCCCTGCACCCTGTGCTCTGGAAGTGAAAGGGGAGAGCTGGGCAGTGCTGGGTGGTACCTTGAGGGCTTCCACCTGTGCTCGGTCTTGTTCCCACAGGGAAGCTCCAGTGTGGCCTCTGGGCTGAGATGTGGTTCCTGTAGGTTTTATCTTGTTCGGTCCTGTGCCCCACCCCCGTTTTTCCAGCTCTAGGACATCAGTCCCCAAGCTGCCTTCCCCAGAGAATGGAGGCGGCCTTTCTGGTTGGGTGCTCAGGTTTCTGCCACATTCTCTCCCTCTGCTCCCTACTTAGCTGTTCCCATCTTGGACCCTCTTGCTCCTATTTTTGTAGTCTTTGTGGACTAAAATTCCTGAATTGAAGCAGCTCTTGTTAGCTCAGAAATCACAGTCCAAGTGGATAAAGGCACTGTACAGGAAGAGAACCCAGAAGAAAACCGCACTTGGAAAGCTGGAGTTTAGGCTTCACCGACTGCCCACTTTGCTCATGTTCCTTGCTGTTTACTCTGGGAAGTCCGTTAGTTTGACTCAGCTTTGTTCATGTACTTTTACATTAAGCTTAGAGTTTTCAGGCATCACATCCATCTGTACGGCTGCTGCATGCTGGAGGAGGAAAGCCCTTGGGACACATGAAGATCAGCATAGCCAGCACTTCCTGGCCAAAGCCAGCAGTCTCCCTAGGTCTGGGCCTGGTTCTTCTGGCCCAATGCAGAGATCCCTCAAGGGTCTCTTGACCCAGCTTTTTTCTCTCCCTTTCCCTGAAAACAGGCCTCCCCAGCCTTTCCTTTCTGAACTCAGGAGGATGTCTTCACGCTCATGGAAGACATCCTCCTGAGAGGATGTCTTCTGTGTTCTGACAGACAGCACTGTCTCTGCAGGGCGCTGATGTACAGTCGCAGTGGTGGAGGTCAAGGCTTTCTCGGAGTTCACGTTCCCTCCCTAAGCAAAGCTTCAAACCAGGGTACTTACTGTGTGGCTTACTGTGGCCAATATAAGCAGCTGGGGTCACATTGAACCATGAAACCCCAGGCTATGGGGACCTTGTGAACAGAAAGACCAGTTTTGGTTTTGTCTGACCAGTTTTGGCTTGCTACCTAGCCCAACTTAAAGTCTAGCTGGAACTGACAGACCTCAGATTAAATCCATTTCTGCTGGCGCCTGTGTGCTCCCTGTGTGGGGTGTGTGTGAATGCAGGGACAGCAAACCCATGTGTGCGAATGCAGGGACAGCAAACCCATGCATTCTTAGAGCTAACCCTGCATTTGCACCTGGTTAAGTGAGAGGAGCTTGTTTCTATAGAGCATGTGGCCCTAAAAAGGAAAGAAAGCCTGCTTTGGGGTCTTCCGTCTTGAAGTCACTTGTCTACAATAGTCAGCCATTCTGTCCTGCCTGTCAACCCGATCTCTTCTTTGAAAAGGACCTAGTTCTTCTTCACTAGACTGGAGCATTGACATGGAAGAGGTCCTTTTTAGCCCAGGGTCTGCCCTGAGGTCTGGGACAAGGACAGGAACCTAGAGGCTAGGGATGAGACTAAGCTGACTCAGATGGCTACGTGGACAAGGGCAGGGGGCCAAATAGCTACTTCATGTTTTTAAAAAATTCTTTTGGTACACTGGACTTCAGGGAGCCAGAGAATAACTTCTGTCTTTGCCCTCCATTCCTTGAGCAGCCTGGTCCTTGATGCAGCTCCACAGCTCTGGCACAGCTCTGGCAGAGCCAAGGAAGGAGCAGAGAGCCACTGTTCTGGCAGGAACTGGCAGCATCTTTCTGCTGGTCCTGAGGGCAGGTGGGAAGGTGGCAACAGGACACCTGAGTGGGGCTTGTGTGCTTGCCTGCTGTTGTTCCTCTTCAGCCGGGGGATGGTATGCAATCTTGTACGCACACGTGGGCACTTACATGTGTTAATGAATAGCTTTTTTTGGTTAATGCTTTTTAACTTGTGTTCCCTTTCATGATAAATGGGTGATTCAGAATTACTCAGTGACTAGAGTCAAAGGTAAAGTGTCCAGGATAAAGGTTGCTCAATCACCTGAGTATAGAAAGCTCCAAGTGTGGATCCTTCACAAGTGTCAACCCCAGAGCAGAAATATGGTGAAGAGGCTAAAAATCAGTCATCATAGTGCCTATAAATCCCATAATTTGTATTTAACACATTCCCACCTTGAACCACCAATGGTTCACGCATGGGTGTCCCACAGGCAGCTTGTACTACCCAGTAGGACTGTCCTGTGCCATCCAATGGGACAGTCATGCACACACCGATGGTTCAGAGCTGCCCAGAAGAGACGCATATCAATTATGGCCCCATTGTGCAAGGGACCTTGTCACTCATTCCTGGTTCCTGCCCATAAAGCCCTCTCTTTGCAGTTTGCTTGGTAGATTGGAGCCCACGATTGTTGCTAGAGCAAGAACGGCACCAGCCGTCAGTCAGGTCAGACCCTGTGAATTTGGGCAAGGGCTAGGGAGCAGTGCTCACTCCTGGGCGGTAAGCTCTCACCAAGCTTCTGAGAAGCTGCTTTGTTCAGCAGTGGTCAGAAGGGCTGAACCATAATTATTTAAAAAAAAAAAATGCCAACTTTCCTCTTCCTTGCTGAGTATCGTACATTGAGTCTTACTGACATAGCCTGTGGGGGAAGTTAGGGAGGTTGCCAAGGGCCTGCAGATGACTTCCTGACAAAGCCCTAACTCCTGGTCCTCAAGTCCCCCTCTGCATTCTGATTCTTAATGCAAACCCCTTTGTTCCCTGAGGGCCAGACTGCTAAGAACTGAAAGGGGGAATGGCGTGAGCAGTTTGCTTCTGGTGCACTTCCTGTCTTTGGGGACAGCTGAAGAAGTAATCACCCTGGTGCTAAGTGAGGGTCAACTGTCGTGTCAGATGCAAACTTAAACTTTAGCCGAACTGTGTAAGGGGTCCCACCTCCTCCTGTGATCAAGTGTGAGGCCAAACAGAAGATGGCATGCACCTGTCATTCAGGCGAGGTGGAATGGGAATTTTTTGCCCAGTGTGAATGTTAAAACAGAAAGACGGAGTTTTCCTTTGGTGTGGACTGTGGGTATACCGAGGCAGGAGGTGGAGGCTGGCCTCTCTGGGCTGAGTCTTCAGGCCTCACAAGGTCCCCTGTGGGGATGCTGCTATTTCTAAGATGCAAATTGCACACTTCCTAGATTTTGTATCTGTGGATTTGAATAAGGGAGGGAAAAAGGGACAAATGCTTGTACAGTCTGAAATGGACCTTAATGGTACTTCAAATCTTTTGATTGTTCCTAAATAAAAATGTATGTACCTTTCACATCTGCTGACTCATTTTCTAAGGGGTCTCAGAAAAAGTTAAAAAATGTTTCTTGGGATCTGTTGATTTATCCTGTGGGCACACTGCCCATAAACTCTGATGGACAAGTGAGGTGGTCTCTCCCCACTCAACCACTTTCCTGATTGCTGAGCTCACTGGAATAGCTTCTGTGTCAAAGTAGTACAACCGTTTGGGAACTGTACGAGACAAAAGCAAATGGAGTCAGACCTGGTGCCATGAGGCATCTGGTGAGAAGACATTGGCAAGGCTTCTTCTTTTTCTATTCCGGTGAGAAGAGCTGGCAGCAGATTTGTCATTTGCTCGGGAGGAGTTGGCAGTATGCGTAGGGATCCAGGGGCCTTCCGGGGGACCACAGCCTCCTGGAAGACACCTTGTAAGAGTCAAGGCAACTGGATGGTTAGGGTGGCCCTAAGGACACATGGCACAAGAGAAAAGGGACCCCTGAAATAAAACTACCTAGGGAAGAGAGACACATCAAGTTACTGATTCTGTTAGCGTCTACATACCAGGGCCTTTCTAGAGGCCAACTCAGGACCTGGAAAGCAGCTGATGGTGCGGAAGAGCCACATCCTTGGCAGGTGGACCAAACTGGAGTAAAACCTAGGAGCCCATCAGCTGAGCCCCATGGAGACACAGACTCAGATACGATCCCACTTTGGATGTACTTTGGGTGGCACTGGCAGTAGCGGCCAATGGGGGTGGGTGGCTTCCAGGTAGGAAACAGACTGACACGGTTCACACTGACCCTTGGGCCTAAGTTCCCTGGGGATTATCAAGAGACAACCCAGGGAGAATATGACTGTCTGGGTGAGAGAGGGCCTGGCTCTTTTAAGACGTGTAGGTGTGACACAGAGCTAGTTTGCTGGGATAACCTGATACTGTTTTTGGTTTTTTTCCCCTTCAGCAGAACTGATACATGGGCAAGCTGAAAGACAAATGAGTTTCTAGCCCCTGGCCCAGGTCAGGTGAAGTTCAGGATGCACCTGGTCATGAGGCACTTCCATTTTTTTTGCTCAGGCCACTTAATGGCTTCCCTCAACTGAGGACAGACCGCTCCTGCCTTATTCCTGCAGGCAGCTTTCAGTCCTGAGGTAAGTGGCATTAATGCCCCGACCCTGTAGGCGGTGCCTTGTGTATGGTCCACTGGGTGACAGCTGGTGAAAGTTAAGCTCTGCCACTCTGACTCATCTACTTGCCTTTGGCCTGCCAGCCATCTAGGAACAGGGGCACTTCCCTTTGCCTAGGCTTCTGGTACCACTGACTTCTTCAACCTCGCTCTTTTGGTTTCCTCTGTCAAAGTCAGGGCTTCTCAACCCTTAGCACTTTCTCTCAGCACCAAAGTACTGGGGAGCTTGTGAACAAGACCCACGCAAGGGACCTGGGTACTGGTATTTTTTGAAGTCTCTGGAAGGGGTGCTCAAATGTGCTACCAAGACAGACTGCAGCCATAACCCAGAAGATGGAAGGCAGTGCTGCCCAAGTTGTGTGGGAGGACAGTCTGTGTGCATCGTACAGCCATGCAGCCAGGCCTTACCTGAAGTGCCAGCCCAGACTTCTTTCCCTGATAAGGAATGTTTTGTCCCTGGACCGTAAGAATCTGGAGCAGGAAAATGGAGATCCTGAGAGCCCAATAAATTCTCACCCACAACTTCCTTGTGTGTGGGAAAGGACCCCTCTCCTTTCTGTAAGAGGGTGGTGAAGCCCCAGGAACAAAGTCTCAGGCCCAGAAACAGCACTGCCGCTATTTGACATGGGCCAGCCCAACAACCAGTTCAGCACAGGGCATGTACTGTTCTATATATTTGGTCAATCATTTTTGTTCTACACCAGCAGACTGCGACAAACACAGCTTCAGGAAGGGAGAGGGGTCTCTAACTGTTTTCTGGGCCTGAGAGTTCAGTTGTAAGTTATAAAGGCAAACAAGGGTGGTATCTGGCAGCACATCTTAATGCTGTTTTTTAAAAATGAAGGTTTCTGTGCAACCAGGAAGGGCCTCTGGTTGCTCCCGATTCACCATCAAAGCTGGCTGCCTATGACAGCGTGCGCTGCTCCCAGGCAGGATGCACTCCATTGAGCCACACCCTTGGAGGACAAAGTGGCAGTGAGGATGGCCACATACCTCCTGTTAGCCCAGAGGAGGAAGATCTACTTGACCTAAGAAAGTCAGGAAACTTCACACTACTGTCTGCTGTCCCATAATCACCAGGGCAGAGCCCCTTAAAAAACATACACGTTAAAGGAAAGAAGACATGAAGATGATTTATTTGGCAGTCAGATCTTAAGAGGGCAGCAGAACTAGCAAATGGCCAACCCTGAGCCCAAGCGTGGGCAGTGGGTTTGCATGTGCTGAATGCTGGCTATGCTATGAGGCACCTTTGTGCCCACTGGCTTGCACCCAGCCTCTCTCTCCAGAGGAGGGGGCTGCCTTTCCAACTTTGCATTTCCTTCCCTGCACCCTTCTACTAGCGAGAAGCTGCACTGAACTAGCAGCTTCATTCAGCACCTGACTGCCTGGCTCCACATACTCAGGAGGCAGGCAACTCTTTAATCCCCTTCTCATTCCTATGGGAGAACATACTGAGTCTTCACTGCCTTAAAAACAAAAAAGCTCACTGGGACAGGCACTGCCATTCCTTCTCTTCCCACCACTCCTCCACCGGATGCTGCCCTGATGTCGCACACTCAGCCCTCTCAGCACAGCTGGCAGCCATGTTCAGGGCTCTGCTCGGGAGGTTTCCCTCTTGACACTGAGGAGCGGGAGGAGTGAATAACTTAGGATACCACTGAGAAGAAAAATAATACTGCTATTTTTATCACGATCCCCTGTATCTTTCAGGCTGGGTAGTGTTCCCAGCCATGGGCAATGTGCCCTTGTGCTGTGTCCTCCTCCTTGGGCAGGGCTGAGCCCTTCTCCACATGGGCCCTACATCACTCTGCTGTCTCCCGGGCCAAACTACCAAGGCATCTACCCTCTCACCCTGCCCAGCTGTGTTTTTAAAGCTACAGGACAATGTAAACTTTGTTTCCTTGGCCCAGCAAGGCTCCTCCTCTTCCTCCACTCTCAGGAATGTGAATGGCTCCTTGAAGCCTCCTATGCTGCAGCTGAGGCAGCCTCTCTCTCCAAGGGGCTTCAGCCCTGTTCCTGGCCCCACAGGATGGAAGGATCCATTTCCAGAAGTCAGGGCCAGATGTGTGTGCTTAATGCGAGACACAGTACAGTTTTTGCCTTCACCCAGAGCTGGGCCTGGAGGCCCAACACAGTACATCTCATTAATGGCTTGGTTTTGTCTAGCATTCACCACTGGAATCCAGGCTCCAGGCTGTGAGACCAGGAAGGCTGCCACAGTAGGCACCTTCTGAAGAACCTAGTTCACGGCATTCCATGAGGCGTGCAGCACCTGCTGCTCTCCATCGAGACGGGGTACAACTAGAGGCGGTTGTCTCCATTGACCCGAGTCCTTCTTGGGGTCCTGAATGGAAGGAAAGCGTCCTTACTGGCAGCAAGGCTTTGCAGTCTAACAGAACAGCTCAAAGCCACACTATTACAGCTTTTTCTACGCAACAGAACGATACTGGAAAAGCAGGATCTAACCTCACAAGGTTAGTCTCCCTTGCTCCAGCACCCCTCTTCCAAGCTGCACAATGCCACCTTCCTCACCTTCGTTCCCGAATGTCAAAATGGTCTGCAAGATGCTCCTGGGAAATGCGGAAGTCCTCAAATGGCTGCTGGTAGCGGGCTTCAAAGGAGCCTTCCCGAACCCGGCTATGAAAGAGCTGGCTAGAGGCGTCTGAGCCCCGCTCCCGGAGGGACGTACCACCAAAGGGACTGAGGTCTCCGTTCTCCTGCTCAACAAGGGCAAGAAGACAAAGGTCAAGGATCCTCTGCACCTTGGGAGGATGTTGCCCTGTTCTCTGCCCACCCCTGCCACATGTACCTTGGCAGGGACGACATCAATCTTGACAAGCAGCGAGGCCAGCTCCAGGTCTTCGCTGTAGTTGTTCTTCAAAGGCACTGCTCTATATCCTAGGAGAAGGCAAGCCTGGCCTTCAGCGCAAGAGGGCACCAGCAAGGGGCCCACCCTACCTGGCAGCAAGTTCAGGGGGCACTGTGTCCAGGAAGAGTCCTCACCTGTCTTCAGGCCTTTTACTGGGAAAGTGGCCTGAGCCAAAAAGTTCTGGTCACTAAACATGTCTTCCTCATACACCACAAAGCGGAGGAAGGCAAACTCAGGGTTACTGACTTGGAAGTGGAAGGGCTTAGCCGGCCACACAGGGTTCAGTCCATTGTCCACTATGAAAGCAAGGGCAGAAGAGTTCAGGCCACCACTAAGAGAATAGGGTGACTATGAGGAGAGGACTTCAGCACGGCCAGGAGGATGAGGATGGTGCAAGGGAAAGCTCACTTACCCACGAACTCTGTCTTCTGTTTGGTGTTGTCATACTCTGCTCCAGCTACCTCAATTTCCACGAAGGGACACACAATGCCGCGGCCATTCTTGGGCAGATGCCGGGCCCCCAGCACCTGTAAGGGAGGCAAAGAGACGGCTCGGGCTGTCTTGCTGCTTCCATTCCCACGACTGAGGCTTAGGCAGCAAATGTAATGTGGAGGCAGTGCGCCCTCTGCTGGAGCCTAGGAGGCCTACAGTAGCTGCTGCCATAAAAGCTTGAGCTTTAGCCAAAATTTTAATACGAATTTTGCAATCTACTTCACGTTAAATGCATGTGTCTCAATATGGACATCTTTTAAGTTTCTCCCCCTTGGGAAAAACCTCTTCTCAGAAGGAGCAGTTATGTTCACTTGTAGTTCTGCAATCTCCTCCTGGATGTGCCCAGCTCACCCCATGCCATCTCACTTTCAGGACCGCTCACAGCCCCACACTGCCCGCTTCCCCGCAGTACCAAGCGTTCCTTGTCACAGCTTTTCACTAGGACATGCTGGGGAGCTCAATGACTTTTCCAATGGTGGGAGAACTCTGTGGACCTGAAGGTTGCTGGTCACTTTCAAGCAAGCCCAGTTCTTGCTTGTCCCTGCAGATCTGCACTTGGCTCACCACCAGTCCTAGCTCCGTCTGTCCCTGCTACTCTAACCAGCCTACTCCTATAAGGCCGTGGCTTTCCAAAGCATGGCCTTACCAGATAGACATCTTGTCTCCTTGGTGCTAAGAAGCGGCCACAGCTCAGGTGCCTCTGTCTGTCACTGGGCCACACCCCACCCAGCTGACTTTTTACCTCACAGGACCGTTTTGTCTTCCTCAAGCTAAAGAGTATCAGCTCTGGTGCTCCCTCCCCCATTCAAGACTCAGAAAATGTGCTCTTTCTATTGGCTCTGTGCCCTGCCCCTTTTATGCTGACCTGCCCCCCAGCTGTGACTCCTGGAACAGTGTCCGGTCTTGGCAAGTTAAGCATAAACATCTCCCAGCTAAGAGAAGCCCCTTTCCCACCCTGAGGCCCACAGATGTGTACCACCCACCTCAATGCAGATGGCGCATGGCTCCAGTCCACGGAGGCTGCTCTTGTCAAAAGGGTCAAAGGCCTCATCTCGCATAGTGCTTGGCTGCAGCACATAGCCACAGTGCCCACCAGCCATGAAGAGAGCCTGATTCATCTGCATAGGCTTGTCTGCAAAAGTCAGGTTACATGCATTGCAGCCCAGCTACCCTGGGGTCCCTTCCTCCTTCCTCCTCACTCTGCCCACAGGGGACTGCCTAACCTGGAGTCTGGAAGTTGAGGGCCACAAGCTGACTGCCACAGATCCACATGGGCAAAGGATCATAGTTGGAAGAGTCCAGCCGCTGCCCCTTGGGATAGATGCGTGAGAGCTGTAGCCGATTGTACTGGAGGAATTTCTTGCCTTTGGCCTTGTTCACATATTTCTCAGCCTTGGTTTCCGGGAAGGACGACATGTCTCGGTAGCAGGCTCGTTCTGTGCCAATCTCTGGCCAAACAGGGAGAACATTTAATAGAGCCTGCTTCCCAGGCAGTGCGGGGGGCTGGGGGGACCAGCATCCTCCTCCTGCACCAGCCATGAAGAGGGCCTGAACCCCACCATTTCCCAGCAACCATCCCCTGCCACAGCCCTTACTCTCTTCATCGAAGGGAACAGGCCGACAGTAGACGACAAGCTCAGAGAGTTCCAGTGCGATCTTCTTCCTCCGTTCCATCATCTTGCCCTCAGTGAGCTGGTGATACACGTAAGGCCTTGTAGTCCCAGGCTAGAGCCCTGCCCAGGGGAAGGAAGCCCCTGCCAGCCTTGGGCGCACTCACATTGCATGTGCTCTGGGGCCTTTTTCAACCTCCCCTGCACCTTCCAGATCCCACCAGACAGTAATTCCTCTGTCGTAGCCTCAGCCTAGGACTACTGTCCTCTGTCCCTGAGGACACACTTGCCTTCCAACCTTCTTGGGGGTGAATCCTCACCACCACCTGTGTCTCAAATGACCTCTCAGGGACCCAGGGGTTGACCATGCCCCAGTGATACCTTCTTATCTTTCCTAACACAGCCTCATCACTGGCTAAAACACCTGAGACTCCTGGTTACCTGAGACTATACTGGGCACTTGCCTCAGTTCTGTCTGTGCCTAAGGACGATTCTCACACCTCAGTTCCCCGACGGCAACATGACCACCTCCTCTGCATGCCCAATCTCAGCTACACACACCCTTCCCATTTCCTCTCTCACGGAGCTCCACTTGTTCCCAGCTTTCTTGTCTTGGTGGCACCTCCATGGCGATTTTCTTCCCTTTCCAGCTAAGCCACGATCTGGTCCTTCAGCCACCTACTTTTCCAGCAGCTTACCCACCCGTGACAGAATCCTCTGCACCCCAACCCTGCTCTGCTTCTGTGCCTGGTCTCCAAAGCTGCCCAGATGTGCCCATCAAATGCATTGGCTGACAGCCTTGGAGGAAAGCCCCTTACTGCAGGACATTTCTGTGTGCCCCAGGCTCAGTGGGCAAGGCCTCTTTCCTCCAGAAGGACTGTCCTTCCAACCATGCTTACCCCCAACCTGTCAAACCCCAGTCCCCATCCTCTCATGCACAGCCAGGCTGTGTGCTATACCGACTGTCAGCCAACCCAGCCACACCACAGCATCACCGGAACGAAATCCAACAGGCACTTCCCAGTTCTTATCACACCTGGCTGTGCCTTTGTAACCCTTAACACATCAGAACCCTACTATTCCCCTGGACCTCCCAGCTCTACCTGCCCTTCCTGGGCTCACCTCTCTCACAGATTGTGTCTCAGGAATCCAGCCCTGTCCCTGCTCTATAGTACTTCATTCCTCCTATCTCAGCTCCTGCCTGAGTATCCAAATGCTCACTAAGCAGACTCACTCAGATAACCAATGGGATCTAATTCAACAGCCCCAAAGCATATGCTTTGGTGGTCATGTGTCTGTTTGCTCTGGGTCTCTATTTAAGGCAGAGGCCATAGCATAGCCAGCACAGGCAGTGCCCGTCCTCTCTTTGGAGGGGGCTGGTACTGACAGCTGGAGGCCTTGGCTACCTGACAGGCCCACATGCTTCCCACCCAGCCCCTCAGCCTCCCAGCACCATCCATACACTAGTAGGTTCTCACCCTGGCATCTGCAGTCTGGGCCACTTCACGGATCTTCTTCACCCAGTCCTGCAGCTCCTCCTGTGAGTCAGCTGCGACATCCAAGGACCACTGGGCCACTGACACCATGCTGATGGAGAAGACGAAGAGCCGGTTGTTCTTCCCCTCTGGACGGATAGCTAGAAGGGCAACAGAAGACAAGAGCGACTCCATGACCTGGAGACTGACTCAAATGAAACCTGCCTCATCCTACTTCCTCCTTACCATGCACCCAAACAGGGGAAGACTGCTGTATAGGCCCATTTTATAGAGGAGTAGGCTGCCACTCAGACATTAAGTCACTGCCAGTTGTGGGGGAACCAGTGTTCCAACCCTGCTCTGCCTGACTCATGCCTCTTCCTCAGACCACATCTCCCACCCCACCCCATCTCCAATCCTGCCACATACCTGTGGCCCAACCCACTAGGGCAGTGGCTGTCAGCCCTCATCGGCATCTTTGCTTTCTCCCAATTTTGACTGACTCTAGTGCCCAGCATAAGGTGAGCATGCAGGAGTCCAAGATGGGGGTGAGAGAGGGAGCCTAGGGTATTAGGGGCATCCAGAGTATGGGTACAGTTTGGAGTGAGGGCAGTGTTTGGGGGTTAAGCCATGAGCTTCTTCCTGGGAGCAGGAAAAGCCACAAAAGGAATTTGACCCTAAGGATGAGTGGGCACGAGAAAGGCACGGGGGCTCACCAATCTGACAGGCCGGCACATCTAAGACCCCCCGCAGCAAGTCCCCCAAGGGGCTGTTCTCATCCAGGTGCTGTGGGAAGCAAAGCCCAGAGGATGGTCAGCATGGCTGCTGAGTACGTGTGAAGAGTTTCTGTGTGAGTGACAATACATCTTGTGGGTGTACCTGCAACTAGCCAAGGGCTGCGTGGGTCTACTGGAGACCATGCAGACACGCAGCGTGTGACTGGCTCAGTGTGACAAGTATTTGTGCATGCAAGTGGGCCTAGAACTGTCAGAGGATAATGTGTGGAGAACCTGGAGACAGGGAAACCCCACAGCTCTGGACTCACCTCTCTCTCAGGTTCCAGGGCTGCTGGGTTGCCCATCTCTTCCACATAGTTTGACGGGAACCACAGCTGCTTCTTCCCACCGTAGTCGCCTCGCCACCTGTGGGAACCACAGGTGCTGACCCCAGCAACCATCCCAAATTCCCACCCCAGTTAAGGTATCCTTAACAGATCCTCCACCAAGTTTATGGTGGAAGCCCTCTAAGTACAAGCACTACTGGCCTACCACCATACTACAGATCCTCCACCAAGTTTATGGTGGAAGCCCTCTAAGTACAAGCACTACTGGCCTACCACCATACTACAGGCTCCCTTGCCTCAGGGACCAGGCTCACCAGCCTCCCTCTTGCTTTTCCACATTCTGGATGATGGCACTCTTGGTGAAGGTCAGCTCATCCTCTCTCTGGGCCTTGTAGTCAAAGAGAGCCTTGACTGCACACTGCAGAGGTGAGACACGGAGTTAAGCACATGGGCCTCCCTGCACTCCTGATGGGCCTCACACCTGCACAAACCACAGGGAGGTACCCCAGCCAGCAACAGTCTCACCATTGCCCTGCAAGCAGCTTGGGGACAGACAAGATGGGAGAGGCGGCCTCTCCTTAGAGGCTCCAGGCCTTCCAGGTAGAGCCATGCAAGCCCCACTTGGGTACAGGGTGAACATCCAGTCAGCTCCCAGCAGGCAGGCTGCGAAGGGAGTGCCTGCAGTGGCCCAGTACATCCTCCCCAGGACCTGTAGTCTTGGGAGGGTAGTGGCTAGGACCCTATCATGCTTCATCTCTGAAGGTCCCATGGCTGCTGAGGAGAGTAGGTGAGGAATTGGGCACAGTTTCCTGTGACTTAGAAAGAAGGGTAAAAAGCAGAAGATCCTCTCTGACAGATTGCTAAGAGGGAGATCTAGCCAGTGTGTTGCCCCCTTGCCCTGTGCCACCCACAGAACAAGGATCATAAACCCCTAACGCACAGTCTGTATCACCCTGTCTAACCCAAGGGACGGGGCTAGGGAGCAAGTGGGTCATCCCTGAGAGAGCTGTGGTTGTTCACCAACCACACATCTCTCACAACCTCTTGGGCTTCAGAAAACCACAACCACTACTTCTCCACACAGACCACAGATGGGCCCAAAACACAGAAGTACATGCCCCAAGCAGCTGGGGACCCCACCCCCCACAGCTTCCCGTGCTGAGGCTGATCTGTACCTTGAAAGTTGGCATAGGGTTTGCCTCCACATAGAAGCCAGGGTTGCGGCCCTCATACAGGGCCCCGTAGTCAGGCTCCTGGGAATAGGACACATTGGGACTTGTTTATGACTCAGAGCTGAGATGAAGAGCAGTTGTTAGCTCCCATGTGCCCCTACTCCAGTCTGGGCCTCCTCATCAGGCTATCCAGACTGTCCCCCTCATTGACACTGCTCCACCAGGATCCCCCAACATTAGGAGAATGGTCGTAAGGATCTATCCTCACCCTCTGCCTCTGCACATTCTCACCCTGAGACTGACTCACATGATTCTGAAATCTGTACCTTGCCTCCTGAAGGCCCAAACACCAATTGCTCCTGAGATGCCTGCAACTTGGCCCACTGCTTCTGCTGAGTGGCTAAGTTTGAAGTCAGGAGGAAGCCCCAGCCCCAGTGGATAGCAGGCCTCTCTCTGGCTACTTATGTGCACCAATGACAAGAGTTTAATTCACCTCCTTTCCAAGATGCTGTCTTTCTACCCAAGGCCAGGACCCTAGTCCAGGGCCCTTGTCCACCCTGCATCATCAGTCCCACCCTCTTCCCTCACTATTCTCCCTGCCGCAGCCATGAAGGGCTGTGCACAACCACACTACCCGCATCTGGGACGGTCTGGCGTGTGTGCGCCTTTCTCCGTGCATGAGCTCCAGGACTTGTCACCTTGACTCTTAGAGGCCCTTCTGGTTGAACGCCTGTCCCTATCCTTGCAGACACAGTGCAGATATCACTCCCTCCATGACATCCTCCTCTACTCGTTTTGTGGCCCCCAGCAAGTCTCTGGAACCCTCCTAGGAGTGCCAAAAACACCCAAGGACTTGCTATCACAGCCAATGACTATATATTCTAGGGCTCTCCCAACTACCCTCCACCCACCCCCAGCCCCTCAGCCTCCTCACAGCTGTGCCAATCTTCTCCAGCGCCTCCTCATTAATGGGGTAGCGCAGCTTCATCTTCCGATACAGCGGGTGCTTCTCATAGTAGCTAATGAGGTCGACAAGACTGTCAAACTCCGAGTTCCCCAGCATCACTGTCTGGCCCTCCTGCTGGACGCGACAATGCTTGATCTTGCCCTCAGCCCTTCAAAAGAACAGGACAGTCACATGGTGTCTAGGGCACCCAGACCCTGGTGAAGACCCACACGCCTCCAACACCTGGGGGCTGACCACTCACCGGAAGGAGATGGCATAGGAGTTGGGCTCATTCCGTTTCCGCACCAGGAAGGCCCCATCTCGGGGTACACGCATCAGCATGTGTTCAGCCTGTGCTCTGGTCAAGCTTGCGTGGTACCACCTGAGGACAGGCAGAGTCAAGCCCCAGCCAGTGCCACCCATGTCCCTGTCTGCCTGCCCCATCCCCTCCCTTACTCTTTGCTCTCGTGGGCATTGGTCTGTGGCACAGGCTCTGAAAGGCGCATCTCAAACTCATTGCAGCGCAGGGGCACTTGCTGATAGTGTGTGATAAGGTCATAGAGGGAGTCAAAGACCAGGTTGTCTGTCAAGAAGAACTTGGGGGTCCCCGCATCCTGCCGGGAATGGATCCGGCAGTGCTGAACTTTTCCGTTTCGCCTGAAGGAAGAGGAGAGGATGAGGGGAGGATGAGAAACAGGCCAGGGCCTGTTATACCTCAAGTGAGGCATTAAGTTTCTCAAAAGGAGGCCAGTCTCCTCCAGTAGGAGACTTTCAAACAGGCTGAAAATGTGAGTGTGCACATGCATGAGTGGCAAAGCAATGATATTCCATGTAAAAAGCCTGCAACAGAAGGCCTGTGATGTTAACTGTGCTTCAGTCTGGTGGTGTAAGTACACACAGTGAGCACACACAACACACACGAGTGGTTACCAGAAGGACAACGTGTAGTCACCCACGAAGGTCTCACTCTCGCGCACTAGGAAGGAACCATCAGGAGCACCGGTCTCAATGCAGTACTCAGTGAGCAGGCGCTCAGCGATGTGCCGTCCATCTCGTCCTGCCCCGAGCTTCCCGTGGAACCACTTCTCATTGGAGTGCAACTCTGTGCTGCCACTGACCTGTTAAGGACAAAAAAAAAAAAAAAAAAGGAAGAAGGACAACAGCAAAAATAGCCAGGGGTGCAGTCCCCCGGCCCCAACCCAGCCCAGCCCAGCCCTGACCAAACTCACTTCCTTGGGCTCCTCTTCATCCTCATTGCCCTGGTCACTGCTAGTCTCCTCAGAGTAGTAGATCTTGCTGCTGGTCAGAACAAAGTAGTGGGGATACCATTCCTGGAACACACCAAAGGGTTCCTATGAACTGGAGACCCTCATCACCTTGTCCCACCATGCCTGGCCCAGCCCAGGCCTCACGTGATTAACAGGGTCCTCCAGGTAGAGGATGCCATTCTTGATGGAGTTGCTGATGTCGTTCTCAGAGTACATCACAGACGTGGGCACCTCCTCATAGGCACTGCCTTCAGCCAGCTTCTTGTGCTATAATAGGTAGCATACCGGATTGTGGTGATGCTCGCTACAGTCCTAGCTCCACCTCCACACCCAGTACTAGACGTAGAGCAGAAGCCCTGGCCTGGGAAAGGTGCTGGAAAGTGGGTTCCTCTCACCATAGTCCACCCCTACCTTGATCAGGATCTTCCTCTTAAGCTGATTTGGTGAAGGGAGCCCATCAGCAGAGATGTCCACAGGCTTGGTGAGGAGTGTGTCCCCAAGCACTTTCTTGAAGTACTGGGCCATGTTTCTTTGCTGGGCAATGCTGCAGTGGTCCTCAATAGACAAGATGACTGGGTACCTGTCGGGCAGGGGAGGAGGGCAATGACACAGACCCTATCATGCAATGGGGCAGAGGTTCAGTTCAAACAGCTCCTCACAGAGCGAGGGGACTGGGAGCCAAGGGCCTGAGGCACCTTGTCCAGAGTAGCTCTCTCAGAGGCAGCCATGGCTACTGTTCTACAGCAAGCAGCTATGGAGGTAACAGGAACCAAAGCTTAGCAAGAACTGCAGAAGAAAGCCTCAGTTGGCCCACTTCTGGAGGGTGCCCATAGTGCAAGAGAACAGTCAGAAGAGATGAGCCTCCAAATGTAGCTACTGGGGGGGATCAGTGAGGTTGAGAGGTCAGCAGTGGTGAACAGGCACTAAGGAATATTTTACAAGGAACACAGACAATTCCCTGGGCTGTGAAGGGAAAGAAGCTGGTAGGACACTGGCCTAAAGAGACCAAAGTTAAGGAAATGGTTTTTGAGGATGAGATGAGCCTGAATGTATTCCACAGACCAGGGAGGGCTCACAAAAAGGGGCAAGTATACAGGAAACTGAACTTCAGAAACAATGGCTCCAGCGAGAAGCAAGAGAGGCGGCGAGGCCAAGAGGAAGGATAAAGATGAAAGCTGGAGGAGTGAAAGCACAGCATGTGAGTGACAGACCTAGAGTCGTTTTGTCCTGGGTCTTCCACCCCAACTCACTCTGAGGCCACAAAGGCATGCTCCTTGATGGTGTGAAGAACGTCTGAGAACTTGATCTTGGTGGTAAGGGTGTGTCCATGATAAATGACTGGCATCCCATCTGGACCATCCCAGCAGTCCACTGGGAAGTAACATCATTTTGGTCAAGTGGACAGGCCTCGCACTTTCCCTCCCCAGCCCCCGGCCCCCACGCACACTCAATGCAGCGACAGCCCATCCGTAGGCAGCGAGCATAGGCTTCCAGGGAGGACTCACTGGAGAACTGGTCCCCAGTCAGGTACCTGGAAAGGCAAGGAGAGGCAGGTGTGGCCTGGTGGCCCCTCTTCCCTCCCAAAAAGGGATGGGAGGGGCTGAGAAAGCCACACTCACGTGTTGTGTGAGGAGGAGATCCAGTAGTGGGAAAGAGGGTTGTTCATGGTGTCCGGGCACACTGCATCCAACTGGGAGTTCCACACACTATTCTCTTTGGAGAACAGGAAGGTGACAAACTGACCAGGAACAAATGTGGAAGGGACAAGAAAGTAAGCCCAGGATGGGAGATGGGAGTAGAAGAAAGTATTGAGTCTCCATTGGACTGGGCAAGGTGGGTAACAGGTAGGAACAAGCTAGCATCTCTTAAGGAAAACCCAGTTTGTAAACCCAGATAGGGTCTGGTCACCCCCTCTATTATCTTGAACACAAGGGGAAAAAGGTGGGGCTCACCTCATCCAGGAAGAAGTAAGGCTCCTCAATCTCTCTCAAGGGGTCGCGAAGGAAGCTAAGCATGAACTCTTGCACCTGGAGCCGGTCAACAGCCCATAGCTCCTGATGAGTGAGGAGGCAGGCATGGGAAAGGCCTCCAGTCAGTGATGCCCCACTTCTCAGCCCAACACACCCCAGCTCAGCCCAGCCCAGTCCTGCCCAGCCATACCCCCTGGTACTCAAGGAGGAACTGCTGGAACTCAGGAAGAGACACTCGGCAGAGCTCTGGCCGCTCCCCAGACCTGCTAGGAGAGAAGGTAACTGCCTGGCAGCCAGCTAGCTGGCATGGCTGATATACAAAAGGGGTCCCTTAGTAGGCAGAACCCAGCTCCTGGTCAGCATAGATGGCCAAATGGTCCACCATGGCTCACCCCTCCCACTGCTTCTGACCTAGAGCAGGAACCACCCAGAAGAACCCCATCTCCCTGCTTCAAACCAAACCTCAAGGTGCTGGTGTCCAAGAAGGGGAGGTCCATCTGCAGGAAACATAACCTGGTCAGGGCAACAGCCCTGAGAGGCCATGCAGGAGAGGGGCTCTCAGGAAGAGAGGCTAGGGCAGCAGATGAGGGCAAGCCTCGGAAGGGGAGCAGGAACAATAGCACCCAAAAGCTCCCAGGCGGAGGGTAGCAAGGCTGAGGCAAACAGGGCTAGGGATGGGTTGGAGGAGCAAGGGCAAGGGCAGGGGAGGGCAGGTGGCTCATGCACCGTCTTCTGGGCGCTGTACATGAGGCTGCGGTACAGTTGAGCAAACTGCCCATAGGTTATGTCCCCACTGCGCTGCTCCAGGTCCTGCACAGTATGAAGCACAATTGTCTTTCAGGCCCTAGCTCAGAGGCTTCTGGCCTCCCCTCCAGCAGACAACCCAAAGAGGCTCTTACCGTCAGCCGCTCTCGGAGGAAGCGCATGTTGGGGACCCGGTAATTGACCTGAGACAGCATGTTCTTCAGGTCCTTGGCTGATATACTGAGAAAACAGAGATATCCCCAGTGGCCTCACATAACTTCTAACTCTCAGCTCCAGCTGACACCACGCAGGGCTGGACAGAGGTAAACAACCCTACGCTGGAAACCTGGAGTCCTGAGGGTAAAACTGGATCAGAATCCATGGTGTGATCAAGGGAAGTCCCTTCCTTTCTCTGGGCCTGTTTCCTTATCTGAGTAAAGAAAAACTCCTGGCAAGAAGTAACCAGGTTCAGCAAAGCAGGTCAAACATGGAGCAAAGAAAAGCAATCTCTAGCCCTACTCCAGCAGTACTTCAGTCTGCCCCTCCAGCTCTCCTTGGCCCAACCAGAACAGAAGGCAGTGCTTCCTCACAATTGCTTAGCACTGGGTTCCCCACCCACTGCCCCCTGGAAACTTCAGAACCTGCAATCCCCAGGATCAATAGGCACTATAGTGCAATGGGCTACAGAGGAAGCGGGTGGGCATGCACAGCCAAGTACCACTGCTAGTGACCGGGCACTCTCCTGGAGCCAGACTGGGTACAGGCTCCAGGAAAGGTACCTGGTCAGAAAGCCAGCATCCTTGCCCTTCAGGACTGTCCTGACTAGGAGATAGGGCTAGGATGTGGATAACAGGATAAACAAGATGGAGAAGGGAGACTTTCTCTCCTGGAAGGTGGTGTCAGCAAGGTGGAGGTATACCTCCTCCTTTGGCCTTACAGTACAGTGGCAAGCACCAAAACTGCGAGGGGGATCTGCTCTACATGAAGAGGTCAAATGTTGAATGAGTGTTGTCTGTACAGGGATCATCTCACTTGACCTTCAGCGCCCAGGAGGTAGGTGCTGTCCAGGTACCTATTTCCCAGTAAGGCAATGGACAGCTTCTGATCACTATCTTTTCCCTCTGTATCCTCTTTCCCATGAGCAAACAAATAGGCTCTTCCTTCTGCCTTGTACTGCCTATCTCTTCAGCTGCTACCCTCTTCCTGCCGCTCTCCATAACAAAACTCCTGGGAAGTCACTCACACTACCTTTATGTCCTTGAACTGCTCCCTTTATATTGCTTGAGCAGTCACTAGGGTGATACCACTCTTCCCAACACAATGGGTCAACTTGCAGACTTTTTTCTCCAGGGTTTCTTCTTACCCTTACTAGCTGCCACCTTTTTTCTCCAGGGTTTCTTCTTACCCTTACTAGCTGCCACCTAGCCCCATCCCCAATGTGGGAGTAATCTGGGGTCACCCAATGTGCTTCTTCCCTTTTCTTCCTATACTTGCCCACATGGATGATCTCATCTACCTCCAAAGCTTCCCATATCACCTACCTACTCCCACATTATTATCCACTGACCTAACAACTCCACACCTCTACTCAAAGATCTAATGTGACCATAAAACTTACACCCACACTCAGCCTGAGTTCCCCACAATGTTGTCCTCCCATGGTCTTCCCATCTTAGTTAATGGTAACTCCATTTTCCAGGTGTTCCAGCTAAAAAGCATACCAATTCTCAATTTTTTCTTTCTCACACTCTGAACTCAATGTGTTAGTAAATTCTTTTGGGCTCTATCTTCAAAATACAATTTAACCCTACTGTTACAAAAAGATAAATCAGCTAGATAAAAAGTCAACAATGAAATATTAGAACTGAACCAAATTTTTGAACAAATGGTCTTAGTAGATGTCTGCAGGGTGTTCTACCCCACAACATCAGAATACACATTTTTCTCAACTATACACAGGACGTTCTCCAAAACAGACCACATACTAGCTCATGGAACATGCTTAATGCGAAGGAATTAAAATTATCCCATGCATATTGTCAGGCCACGGTGCAATGAAATTGGAAAACAATGGCAAAAGAAACCATAAGAACTTCATAAACACATGGAAATTAAATGGCACCCTCCTGAACAACCAGTGAATCACAGATGAAATTAAGGAAAAAATTAGACAGTTTCTACAGTTAAATGATAATACAACATACCAGAACTTATGGGACACAGTGAAAGCAATCCTAAGAGGGAAATTTATAGGAGTGAATATCCATATTAGGAAAACAGAGAGAGTGCAAATAAACAACTTAATGGTGAACCTCAAACTTCTAGAAAAAAGAAGAGCAGGCTAACCCAAAAAGCTCATACAAGGGAGGAAATTATAAAGATCAGAGCAGAAGTTAACACATTGGAGACTATGAATGCAAAGAATCAATGAATTGAAGAGTTGGTGTTTTGAAAGATTAAATAAAATCAACAAACCCTTATCCAACCTTATCAAAAAAAGGAAAGACTCAAATCCACGCAATAGGAATGAAAAGGGTGAAATTACAACAGATCCTGCAAAAATCCACATCAACTACACCTACTTTGAAAATTTGTATTCTGATCAGGTGGAAAATGCAGAAGAAATGGAGATTCCTAGACACATATGAATTAACAAAGCTGAATCAAGAAGATATAAAAATCTTAAGTAAACCAATATTAATCAATGAAATCGAAGATCTAATTAAAAACCTACCAACAAAGAAAAGCCCAGGCCCTGACAGCTTCACTGCTGAATTGTATAAGAAATTTAGAGAACACCTAATACAACTACTTCACAAACTCTTTAATGAAATTGAAAGGGAAGCAATACTCCCACATTCGTTCCTAGAAGCAAGCATTACCCTGATACCAAACCCAGAGAAGGACCCAACTAAGAAAGAGAACTATAGGCCAATCTCCCTCATAAACACAGTTACAAAAATCCTCAGTAAGACACTGCCAAACAGAATGTAGCAAATTATCAATAAGATTATACACCATGACCAAGTGGGATTCATACATAAATCAATAAATGTAATATACCACATTAACAGAGCCAAGGACAAAAATCACATGATCATCTCAATAGAGGGAAAAAAGCTTTTGACAAAATCCCACTGTTCACGATCAAACCTTACAGAAAATTGGAACAGAGGGTCTTTACCTCAATCTGATAAAAGCCATCTATGACAAACCAACATCATACTAAATGGACAAAAATTGAAAGCTTTCACTCTAAAATCAGGAACAAGACAATCGACTGTCTCCACTCTTATTCAACACAGTCCTAGACACAGAGCAACTAGACACGAGAAAGAAATCAAAGGAATAATGATAATAGGAAAGGAAGAAGTTAAAGTACCATTATTTTCAGAAAACATGATACACAGAAGACCCCAAAAACTCTACTGAGCAACTGATAGATAAGCAAATTCAGTAACATAGCTGGATACAAAGTCAACACTCAAAAATCAATAGCCTTCCTGTGGATGAATAACAAACTCATTGAAAGAGAAATTAGGGAAATAACACCTTCCACATAGCATGCAAAAAAATGAAATACCTAGGAATCAATCTAACAAAGATTGTGAAAGACCTCTACATTGAAAACTACAGTACTCTGAAAAAGGAGATTGAAGAGAATATCAGAAAATGCAAAGATATCCCTTGCTCTTGAGTAGGAAGAAGCAATACAGTGAAAATGGCCATACTTCCAAAACTGCTGCACAGATTTAATGAAATTCTGATCAAAATTCCAACAGCATATCTCACAGAATGAGAGAAAACAATCCTAAAATTCATCTGGAACCAGAAGAGACTTAAAATAGCAAAGGAAATTCTGGGTCAAAAGGCAAGGCCAGTGCCATCACAATCTCTGACTTAAAATTATACTATAAAGGTACTGTGATAAAAACAGCATGGCACTGGCAAAAAAAACCAGATCCAAATATCAGTGGAACAGACTAGAAGATGCAGAAACAACTCCAGACATATTAGCTACCTTATCTTTGACAAAGGTGCCAAACACATTCACTGGAAGAAAGATAGCCTCTTTAATAAATGGTGCTGGAAAAATTGGCTTTCTGCCTGCCAAAGATTAAAATTGGACCCATATCTTTCACCATCTACTAAACTAAACTCAAAATGGATCAAAGATCTAAATATTAAAACAGAAACATTAAGTCTGCTGGAAGACAGAATAGCTAAAACTTTTGAAGACACTCATATAGGTAAAGACTTGAATAAAACCCCGACTGCACAGGAACTGTCACAAAGAATCAACAACTGGGATCTCATCTTATGGAAAAGCTTTTGCACAGCGAACAGAGTGAAAAGACAACCTACACTGTAGGAAAATATGTTTGCCAGCTGTTCTTCAGACAAAGGATTACTATGAAGAACACATAAAGAACTAAAAATATAAGATCTCCCAAATTTAAAGACCCAATTCAAAAATGGACATCTGAGATGAATACATACTTCTCAGATGAAGAAATACAAAACAGCAAATAAATATATGAAAAAATGCTCAATATCACTGGTCATTAATGAGATGCAAATTCAAACAACACTGACATTCCATCTCACCCCAGAAACAATAGCTATTATCAAGAAATCAACGAATAACAAATGCTCGTGGGGCTGTGTGGAAAAAGAAACCCTTCTCCACTGTTAGTGGGAGTACAGACTGGTGAAACCACTGTGGAAATCAGTGTGGTGAGTCCTCAGAAAACTAGGATTGCAGGTCCCATTTGACCCAGCTATTCTCCTGCTGGGTATCTTCCTAGAAGAGTTAAAAACATTGCAACACAGTGATGTATGTGCACCCATGTTGAGAGCAGCACTATTTGTAATAGCTACATCTTGGAAAGAACCCAAATGCCCATCAACCAAATGAACAAAAAAGATGTGGTCTTTTTATACAATGGAGTAATATTTAGTCATAAAGAAGGATAAACTTTTATAGGTAAATGGATACAACTTGAGACCATACTCATAAGTGAAATAAACCAGATGTACATGTGTAAACATTGTATTTTATCCCTGATGTGAGAAGCCAAAAGAGTAAATAAGATCCAAAATGTACAATACATATTGTAAAATGGGAAGAAACTGTTCAAAAGGAAAGAGAAACGGGGATGGGGGGAAAGGAGAAAAGCAAAGCAAATTATATATATATATATTTATACACACAAAATAGTTACGATACTTATACTACTAATTTCTCTTAGTTCACTGAAAAGAAAGGTCGGTGCTAATATTGTTTGGACAATTAAATGCCTGTATCTTGTACTCTGAGTAACTAAAGATAACAATACGCAAAGTATTAACCATTGCTACCTTCCATTTACCTTGTTTTGAAATTTTTATTTTTTTCCTCTTTAAAATTAAAAAAAAAAACCACAATAAAAAAATCCACAATATAGCCAAATCCAGCCACTTCCTACCATTACCACTTGGATCCAAGTTCTTTCACCTCAACTGATGAAGCAACTCCTAACACTAGTTCCTTAACAACAGCCAACATGATCCCAAGCAGACTCTAAGGGTGCATCATTCCTCTCTCCAGAACCTCCCACAGCTTCCTCACTCTTGGGGTGATCAGAGGGTCATCATCACAGCACAGCACCACAGCCTTCATCTGGTTGTTGTTCCCCTATCTCTCCTTGGCACTGCCATATCAAGCCAGAAAGTCATGTACTTCAAGGTATTCTCTCATATACTACCAGTGGGCCCGACCCTCAGGGTAATCTGCAGGACATCAGAGCTAATTCTGCAAGTCTACACTCTGGCCACAGGCAGAGCACATAACATATTTTTGCTACCTTCTCTCATCAGCTTACACAAAGGCCTTTTCTGCTGAAAGCTACCTGTGCCAGAATTCCCTACCCCATCTAAGGCAGGCTGGTTCCCTGGCTCTCCAGGAAGCTGCTCAGAGGGCCAGATACTGTTCTGGCTGCCTCTACCCACCTGCTGGGCGTCAACCACAACTCATTACCTACCGGTCCTCACGATTCCGATCCACAGAATAGAACTGCTTCCGGAGCCACCTGGAAAGAGAAGCCTGAGGTGAGCGCCATTTCTCAGCTAGGATAAGTCCTGGGGAGGACAGGAGTACTGGTCTTTAGGCACATAAAGGTCTGAAGTGTTTGTCCCTGCTCCCCTGGTCCCTAAGGCCCCCAGCCCTAACCATGTCAAGTGCAGTTGTATATACCTCTCAATCTGCAGGGGCGTGGCTGCCTGCATTGTGTCCTCCATCAGCCAAGTTAAGCCCTTGATCCACATGTTTACTTCATCCTCAGACGTAGCTGTAAACAAGGACAGGAGTCAAACTGAGGGCACACACCTCCTATTGAGCCACAGGCTGGCAGGCCTTCCCCTTATCTCCTACCTCTTCTAGGCCCCTAACTCTCACCTTGCAGGCTCAAGGTCTTCAGGCGGAATTCCATTCCATAAAGGATGACGAAGCAGTGTGACTGATCCGGCCGAAAAGCAGGGTCCTCTTGATAGCGATCAAAGTCCCGTGAGGTCTTCCCTGGGCGAATTTCCTTGATTTCACGAATATCAACTAGAAAGTAGTAAAGAAGGAGCCCAGGTCAGGATGGAGATTTCAAAGCCAGCACAAAAGGAAGACAGCCTGGTTTCCTCAATTATTCCCACACTTTCTCCTGCAGGGACCACAAAGAAAGACACCCTCTTTTTCCTTCCTTAGGAGCAGAGCCCAAACCAATCACAGACATCGTAGGTGACAAAACAAAGCTATACTGATGTAAGGACAGACTTTTGCTAAAGGCTAACAGGTGAGATGGGGTTATATGGGAAACAAGGAACTCTGTGTGGCATCCATTTCCCATCTTTGTTCCTTTGCTGAGAACACAGGCTAGCTGCTCTGACCTAGAAAAGGACTGATGGGGACTCAAGCTTCCTGCACAAAAAGCACACGCAGATCCAACCGTAAGTCCCAGGAGCAGGACTTGGCAGGTCTAGGTGGGCCACAAGATCCCTGGGAGAAAACAGGTTCAGGCCCAGAGAGCTGGCATATGCCTGAAATAATCTGCACACAAGTCTCTGTAAGAGGCCTACTTCTCCCTAAGGCAATGCTGTCCAAGCACAACATACATCCTAAGCCTAGCCCACTATTTGGCCTGGGACGACTTCCTTATTGTAGCTATCAAGGGCCCTCACACAGCACAGACTGGGAAACTACACAAGCCTGAATGGCAAACGACCTGCGTTGGCCACTAAATGGATTGAAAATATGGAGTAACTCAAGGCTGAGTAAGTCATTAACTTCTCAGTCTTACTTTACCATCTATAAACAAAGGTTTTGACTTGAGTTTCTCTAGAAGGCAGAGTGTCAGGAAAAAAAAACCATGCATGGGCTTTGGGGTAAGACTGCTTGGAAAAGAATCCTAGGTCCACCTCACATTAGCTGTGTGATCACAGCAGAGGGATAACCTCTGTCCCCACTGTTTTATTTGTGAAGGGACAAAGGAGCATAAGGAGGATGCTCACAAGACCAAAAGTGCTACCTAAAAGTGCTAGCACTGTGTATGGGATATGGAGGAAGCTTTGTTCTCTGATTAGAGCTTGCTCCAATGCAGAGGATCTGACCCAAGACCTGGAGAGACCCTGACACTCTCCAGCACGAGGAAGATCTTGGCTATAAACTCACACTGTCCCCTGGGACACTGGACAGAGGGCAGATATGCCAGCCCAGGATGACAGATTTAGGGAGGATAAGGTCAAATGGAAGAAATTTGGCTTAGCCAGCAGAGATGACTGAGAGCTCTCTCTGAGCTCAGGTGCCTTTTTAAAATGCTCTAACCCAACATATATACCTACATACATTTGACCCTAGACTGACCTAAAGACTTCGAGCTCTGCCTGGCTAGCCTCTACCCCAAAAGCCTTCCCAGCGCAAAGAGCTCGCTAACCTGATGGCCAAAACCCTGGCTCTCTCTATTCCTGTCTTGTCCCTGTAGTCCCAGTGAACCCCATCTATCCCACTTGGAACAGTGGCAGCAATTCTGGCCCTAAACCCAGCTCTCCTGACCCAAAAGTACTGGTTCTCCCTGCATCCCACTCCATCCTCCAGGAAAAGCCCTCTGGCTTGTCTGAGCTGAGAGCTCTGACTTTCCTGCTAGTGTCCCTAATCCTAGATCTCAGCAACCACTAGACTCCATCCCTCCCGACTTGTCCTGGAGGCACTGCTCGCTCCTCTCCCCAGGCTGCCACTGCGGGCTAATGAGAACATGCTCCCTCTATGGCCTTCAAGGGTCTTCATGATGGGGATTCAGAGGTTTACCTCTAAGCTTTTGCCTTCCCATCTTCTCTGCTCCATCCAAAGTAACCCAGATCTACACCCAGAACAGCCTGTGCTTCCTGTCCCCATTTCGTTCTGCTCTCTGGCCTGGCTTCACTCTCTCACTCAACTCTCTCCAACCAAAGACCCAACTGAGAAGCTCCATCCTGCACAATCATTCTCTGGATGCTTCATGCTGCTACATCAATGGATGTTGTTCATCTCCCCAGGGCAAAGCAGAGCACCTCCAATGCCTGCTGAATGAACAAAAAGCAAAAATGAAAAAAAAACAAACCAAAAAACCAAAAAAACAAAAATAGGCACACAAGTGGAGGAGGAGCAATGAAAAGAGGATAGAGTAAAAATGAGGCATTATACTCAGGTAGAAAAAATCGAGGGGGAAGAACTGCATCATAAAGACCCAGCCTGAGAACAAAGAGTTGCCAAGCATAGGAGGAGCTTTCATCGGGGAAATGCCCAGATCAGAAACTGCAGAACAACCACAAACTCTGCCTTTTGAAACAGAAACCAGCATGCTCTTCCGGTGCAGAGCCGTTCATCCTCCTCCTCCACCTTCTTACAAAAGGCGTGTATACACACAAGTGCATACAGACCAGGGCCTGCACGGTCCATAGCAGGGGCTTTCCCTTCCACTGTCCATCCACTGGGTACCCCATAACTCCACAATGAATCTATTTACTGTACTGTTCAGCACATAACTGCAGGACCAGTCCAAGGCCTGCTGCCAGGCCACATGCAGTCACCTTCACAGTGTCGTGTTTCTTTC